AACTGCATCCCCCCAAAACTTCTTACAAGTTATAACAAGATTCTAGCAATAAAAGGTACTGGCATGAAATTGGAGGGTAGGAATCGAAGGGAGTGTTTCTCCTGCTCTCTCTCTCTCTCTCTCTCTGGCTTGGGCAGCCTCCCCAGCAATAGCTTTGGGTGGGCAGGTTATTCTGTCTAGTTTCCCTGTCCTAGTCCCTCAGCTGGGGTAATGCCACCCCCTCTCCTTGTTCCTGTACCCTAGAAATGGCAACGGCTTCCTGGTGGGCTTCGAATTGCCGTATTTCATTGGTTTTTTCATCTAACGTTTTAAACAATCAATTTCCCCAACTAACCACTTGGCATAGGGATATAGCTTAGGGGTAGAGTGTCTAGTATGCATGAGGCTCTAGGCGGATCTTCAGACCCACATACACACACCAAAAAAAAAAAAAAGGGTCCGGGGAGATGGCTCAGTGGAATAAGCGCTTCCCTGGCAAGCGCGAGGGCCTGAGTTCAATCCCCGGTTCCGCCAAAAAAAAAAAAGACTCTTGTCATTGACTCTGTTGATCTGGATCGGGTTGAATTTAATCCATGAGGTGAGGTCAGTAGGAAAAAACACGTTGTAGTACAGGGGCACTCATGTGTCTTCCCACTGCCCCACTCTGGCTGGAAGGGAACCCCAACCTGAGGGAACGGGCAGCCCTCCTGCCTACCAGGAGGGCTCAGCGTCGATGTCAGTTGTTTGCTATTTTATAAGAAAATAAGCGGGGGCTGAGATGGCTCAGTGGTCTAAAGCACCTACTTATAACAAGCTTAGCAAAGCACAGGGACCGCGGTTCAGTCCTCCGGCACCACATGCCAGCCAGCCCCGCCCCCTGGTGGACTGAGCTGGCCACACACACACACACACACACACACACACACACACACACACAAATAAATAAATAAATAAAATTTAAAAAAAAAGAAAATAAGCATTTTAATGCATAATTAATTTTCTAGGAAAGTAATGTATATCCATCCACAGGTCTCCTTTTTGTGTCCAAACAGTGCATTATCTGGCATGGTGTTGCCTCGCCCTCACCAAGGCCCAAGTTCCTCACATGGACCCTCCTAGCCCAGGCAGTGGGTGCAGCCTGGAGAGCAGAAGTGGGCTCAGGGGCGGGCACAGCAGAGCAGCCCGTTTCCATGTGGACAGTGAAGTCAGCGGCTTCCCAGAGAGCAGGAGACTGAGCAAGGGTCGGGGCCAGAGTGGGGGTCGGCGGACTCCAGCTGAAGCAGCAGGGGTCGGGGCCAGAGTGGGGGTCAGCCGGACTCCAGCTGAAGCAGCAGTGGTCGGGGCCAGAGTGGGGGTCGGCCGGACTCCAGCTGAAGCAGCAGGGGTCGGGGCCAGAGAGGTGGTCGGCCGGACTCCAGCTGAAGCAGCAGGGGTCGGGGGCCAGAGTGGGCGTCAGCCGGACTCCAGCTGAAGCAGCAGTGGTGCAAGGTAAGGCGGGGAGCGTCCCACCAGGACCCAGTCAGGAAGGCCCAGTAGGGTCTGAGAGGGCTCAGAGGCTCAGCAGCCTTCCTGAGGCCATAAAGCGGGGGAGTGGCAGGCCAGAGACAGAAAGAAAAGCCATGGCACCCTCCAGAGTGGGTACAAGGCCAAAGTCAGTTGGGGCCACAGGAGAGGGAAGAAAACATGGAACCCGGTCCAGAGCAGCAGCAGCCCCTCCTGGACTGTGTCCTGCCAGGAAGTTGTGGGACAGAAATAAAAGCACAGCCAGCACCTGTCATAAAAGACTTTTAATGGCCTCCTATTTAGGGTTCTCTTGTTCATTTGTCTTGTTGGAGTTGAGTAACTATAATAACTTATCTGACAGAAGAAGGAATGCCACAGGTACAACAGATTACCCTGGAGGTGACCCAGGAACGAGTGCCACAGAACAACC